CGAGACGGCCAGCGAATAATACAAAAGTGAAGCATCGTCTCTCTCTTTTCGCGCATCACACAGCCTCATCTCGACTGAATTGCGAAATGAGAGAGCAGAGCAGCGGCGGCGGCGGCGAAGCGACCGAGCGGGGAAGGGGACGACAAAGTTGTGACGGCACGCATACGATATATGTAAAGTGTGTATTAAGTGGGACAAGTTCTCGAGGATGAGGTCAGCGCGCCGGACGGTATATATCGTATGTGTACCGACTCTGATGCGCTATCGCCGCCTTGTATGATCTTAACTTACATAATGTATGCATATAATGCGTATATATAGCAGCAGCGTGGTCTATACATGCATCACTCGGACATAATTTTTTCTGTAATCTTTTTCGACGTCTTGCATTGCAGTATGCACCCGCGCGTAACCCAGACGAATGTTGACCTTGCAACTTTTTTTGTCCCGTACGAGGAAATGATCGTATATTACTCGTGAAAATGAACGCCCGGATATTCGATATTGTCCGACGGAGAAAAAAGAATCGATCATTACATTATTATGCAACGCAAACGTGTTTCTTGGGTGGCTAATGCGATTGTCAATCACAAGTGTAATTGTATGGCTAATCGAGATGTGCAAAATTATAACTGAATAGCGCGCCGCCGAGTCCAGAATACGTGTACACGCGCATGCGTGCGTACGCGACTCTACACCTATATAGTAACGAGTCTGGTCGGCGCAGAGTGCGAGAGCCTCATGCTCGCTCGGAAACTAGGTCACACGGTCTAAGCAAAAATATTGCGGGAACCCTTAGGCCAGTCGCGTCGTAATTGCATTAAATAGATAAATAGATGATTTTGCGCGACGACCTTTTTTGCGACTACACTGCACTTGTTTCACCGACAGTTGCAAGTGTCCCTGACTAGATGTGTCGGATTAGACTCAAATCAATTCGGTAAAGCGATAGCTGTCAAGCATATAAGATTTCGTTCACGCGAGAGGAGTATCAAAAGGCGCCTGCATGTGTATACTGCTCTACGTATGCCTTGCCTCGCAACCTTGTCCTCGACGGAGCGTTCGACATTAAAAAAAAAAGCCGAGTTAACGCGCCGCGAATGTCCGAACGCATTATCGTTACAGTGCCTGGACTCGAGACGAGAAGAAACGTATACTTTTTTTTTCTTACTGCCAAGTGCTCGTGTGTGAGAGAATGCGTTATGTCAGCTGCTTCTTATTTCATGTATCTTATGTACATAATCGAGTATCTAAAAGGTCGACGCGATACCCTTTAGCGCCAAAAATGGCATCGGCTTTCAATGGCAGTGTATCGAATTATAATATCGCGATATACTTTCGAAAAAGGCTCGACTCGTACCAGAAATCTCATCTCGCGTCATTGAAACCGCGAAACGATCGCGTCGCGGCCGCGTTTCCTTCCTGCTTGGCACTGGGAGTCGCGCCTTCACGCGTGGCTTCGCACCAGACTACAATGTAATATTCACCTGTTCGTCGTGCGTTTCGCGCATTCGAGACCTTTGAGCTCGTTCGCGCGGCCCACACACAATACACACGACCAACGAGTAAGTCATTTTGCCAATTATTCGGTAATTGGCCAAGTGAAGCGTATCCATACGCGTACCCTCGCATGCCTCGAATATTCGAGCTCCATCAGGGCGTCGGTTGCGTTTGCTCCCCTCGCGCGCCGCAGACACATTGATGCACATATTCTTACGTACGTACAGGCTCATTTACACTTCCGTATACAAACGCGAGTTTTACACAAGGCAGGCGCATCATCATGCAAAACCGCATCTCATGCTCCATGCCTATACGGCCGTTCGCGTTCCCTCGGAGGTGCTAACGTATAAACTGCCTCGAGTTTAGCCGCACGGTTGTACGTGCTCCGTACATGCATATATAGGCCGGGCGCGGGTGTGCGTGCGCACATGTACGTGTACATTTGTCGGTGCACGCGCGCGCGCGAGCGAGCCCGCTGTATTTACAAGTTTAATTGGAAGTACTACGAATAGATCGTTTTCGCGCGTTTACTCGTGTGTTTCCGGTGTTTAGGCCCGGAGCCGAGCAATTGATAATACATTTATACGCGCTGGAGTGTCGACACGAGCATTAAGACACGTTTCAAGTACGCCGCGGCACACGGCCGCCTCTTTGTCAATCAACGCACCGCATACATTGTTGCGCCGAATTCTAACGAGATATTTTCGTAATGTAATTAATAATTCGGCTCCTTTTAAAAATTTTCATTTTTTGCAAGTATCGTTTGAATGATAAAATCAATCGACTTTGATGAAATGGCTCGAGTCTTCAATGTCCGCTGGATTCACCTCGCGCGCGGCTACTAATGCGCCGATACAATCGTAGGCACAGTGGTGGTCTATCGATCGTTTTTATATTCTACACACACTCGTGTACGGAGAAATATACACGTTTCTGCACGACGGAGCAAAACATATCGCACGCGGACAGAAACCTCACGCAATTCGCCGCACAACTGTAATACGATTTTGTCATCCCCGCCAAACGTTCGTCGCTGAGCCCTTGAATACGGGGGGGGGGGGGGCCNGGGGGGGGGGGGGGGCCACGAATGAATGAATGTTTGTATCTTTTTTCGTCATCGCTCGGATTGATGTGTTTTTTTTATTTTTGCAGAAATATTTCCATTCAGTATTTTCAAAAGGATTGTTTGACTCATTTCTTTTGAAATGTTGTAAAAATAGCACATGGTGTTAAACGATCAATCGATTGTTTTTTCTCCTCTTTTTCTATGAACGAGGATTAAATTCATATTAGAATACAAATCGTGTGAACATAATAACTTTTAAAGCTACTTTATAATCCCCTCATGATTCACGATCAAAATTATAAAATTATTTAATATATTCCTCGGTAGAAAAGGATAAATACAATATATTTGTTGCTTTTATACAATAATTTTGTGTAACAATGAAAGTTGTAGTCTGCAAATACGATATTACAGCCACACTATGTCCCAAGCTACAAACTGAAGGTTTTTTTTGCCATACACGCGCTCTATATTTTTCACCCATATGCACACGACGCGGATTATGGGATTTTCACATGCTACACACATCCGAGTTCTACCTGTAAATATCTTTACAGTGGTTAACCATAATACAAAACACGACAGCTCGCGCTAGAAACAGGTATTAAATGAGACTGAAAAAAGGATTTGTCCCATATGTATTTTATAACGGTATGTGTAGTGTGGTTACTTTCCGTTCATATCTGCCCACGCACGTATCTAATGTCAAAACAGAATTAGGTAAGTATTTTTAAATTTTAAGCAGGTAAGTATTTTTAAATTTTTTTATCGTATAGATAATAACCACTAACTTCGATATATCGGAGTTAACGATGGAAATACGAAGGCTTGGCAGATTTGAGTATTTGCAAATCCATTAAGCTCGTTAGCGAAAAAGATGTCTTGATTAATTTTTAATAACTGTTTGGTATACGCACGTGGAAAATATTTTTTGAAATTATTTATACATTACTGAATTTCTGAATTTAAAATAACAAAATAATATGTTTGTACATTAATCGTCGATTCGGCGTCAATCGAGTGAAATAATCGATCATCCCAAGCGACATGGGTTGTTACGCATCTGAATACTTTCATGAATACATATTCATCGCGATCACTGGCAATTTAGCAAACAACTATCATGGGCAAAATTATCCGCGTGTTTTTCAGGCTCCAAGTCACATGCGCGAGAGCTGTTGAAATAATTCAAAACACCTAGGACCATTACGTATGCGTTCCTATAAAGATTTTATCAATTGTCTGTTGTCCGAGAAGAAAAATTTGATATTACGGAAGTCTCAGCGGCGAAATATGTAAGGCACGACGAAAAATCGACCATACAAAATGCCTCGGAATCAGGAATATAAGGAGACGACAACGGCGACAGCCAAGACGCCAGACGGAGAAAAAGAAATGCGAAAAAGAAAGTCGCGCGCGATATATATGCACAAGGCAGCCGCGTGTATTTTACGTTATGCTGCGGTGGCCGGCTTATATACGCGCGATGCGTATTGGGAGGCAGCTGCGCGTCGCTTCTCGCACGAAGCATGGAGCTATATAGTCTTATGAGCATAGAGAGAAGTCAGCCTTGAACCAACTCCGTTGATCGCCACTGCGCGCGGTGACGTCAAGGAGTCGCCGGATAGAACTACCGACTCTACGATCGGGCCGGCAGCAGCAGTAGCTCGGCTAGCCCGATTAGCATCATCGTCGGTGCTCGGACGCCTCGTGACTTTTTTGCGCTCGAATATCTTCCCTTTCTCCTTTCGATCTCCGGCCCGGCTTAAATGGCTTTTGTTTACGCAATGCAGATGTAAGTACGAACTTAAAACGAGTTACGAATTGGCCGATTGTCCGCAGTCGCCGCGACGATCGTTACGCATTATATCATCGCTGCGCGTACGTGCGTGGCGTTATTATTAATTTTCGTCGTCGATTTACGAGATCGCATTGATTATCCACATTCGCGAGCCGCGTATACACGTAGCTGCAAAATATATGCACGCTTTCGACGATACGTTATAATGCTCTCGGGGTAATTATTGCGTTTCTGTCGAATGCAACGAAAGTTCCGTGATTGCTTTTTGAGAAAACTGGTAACTGCTTACACATTTTTTAAATTAAATTATACCGAGGCAGACGTGAAAATAATGCCCGATACATGCGCGATCGTAAAAGTATAATCGCGCCGAGAAATACGATCGTTTGAGCGCGCGTCGGTATTGATACGCGTGCACGAGAGAGAGAGAGAGAGAGAGAAGAAAAAAAAGGCATCTTGTCGTCTTACACAGTAAGCCGCGAGATAAACGTGTTTGCATGAGCATTCACGAGAGAGAGAGAACTAGCGCTACTGCGAGGCGTTTTCTCACAATATCGTTACATAATTGACGCAATGCCAGCAGCTTGTACGTCCAGCATTATTTTATTGCTCTTTTCTCCTCGTACACACCTTTGATCTCGGCGATGTGAGCGTCGTACTGGCTCTTGCTGCGTCCGTAGTCGATTCTTCCGGCAGTGACGCCGAAGAAGCTCTGATTGCTGTACTCGGCGTACCACTCGGCGGCCGGCCGGTCGTCCGACATGGGGCTCGGGCATTGTCGGCCGAGGAGGCTCTCCTCCGAGGCGGGCAGCCAGGCGAACGACGCGGCCGAGCTGGACTTGGACGTCTCGCCGCCGGTGGCGGTCGGCTGATTGTGACTCTGGTAGGCCGAATCGTCGTAGCCGAAGAACTCGTCGCTCGCCTCGCTCGGACTTCGAACCCTGGCCTGGGTCGGAGTGCCGTGATGGCGAGTCGGGAGATTGTCATTGCTGCCGTTGGAGCTTGCGGTACTGTTGAATTGACATTTGGGTATTTTTTTTTTTTTAAGTATCTCGGCCTAAAAATTATCTTTTGAATTGATTTTATAGGACATTATAGGACCCTATAAAATCCATTCAAAGACAATCGAAAACTTGCAAATTGGTTGAACAACGTACCTAAGCACCGACGTCGTCGAAGAAACTTCCTTCAAACTCTTTTTCACGGTAATCTTTTCAAACTTAACGACTTTCGCCCCGTTCAATTCGCCCTCTTCGACCAGCCGCTCGAAGCTCTCCTCGAACGACGAATTGCTCGCTCTCGAGGACGATCTTCGATGATCGGCGCTGCCTCGATGATCCGTCAGATCCTCGCTGGAGCTGCGGTTGAGCTGCTCGAAAAAGCTGACTCTCTCGCGCAGCAGCTGGTGACCCGAGTTCGCGGCGCTGTTACTACTCTGGCCACGTGCTACCGCAGCCCGATGCTTCGGACTGACGGTGGGGGTGCCGTTGCCGGTCGGTCGATCGCAGCCCGACATTATTATGTATATAGCGTGTGTGCGGCGGCCGTAGGTAGTAGGTCACCCTCTCTCTGTGCACAGTGCGTTGGCTCCACGCTGTGCGCGCGATATCTGTCCTGGCAATCACGAGCAGCCCTTGGCCCTTTTGGACTGCCCCTGCTCGATCCGACACTGTTTCAGGCACTTTATCGCTGTATCTGACTCATGGTGCGAAAGCTGCATCGTTCGGGGGACAATGTTATTTTTGCTTACGGATTACGGGTAGCATTGACAACGACGACGACGACTCTTGCGGTCGGCAGAATCAATTTCTTACGGAGCGAGTCTATTGTCCAGCCTCGATGTAGGTTACGACTTGGAGCACGTGATACGCGGAGCGCACACGTGATGGTGTGTGCGTGAAAAGTCTCGTGCACTGTTTTATTGGCAAACTTGCACGATGCCGGTGCAGCTCGACCAAAGCTTTGGGGCTTGTACACTGCACTGATATACTGTTTAATAGTTCTTCGGTTAGTTTGACTTTTCACTCGTTCTTCGAACGAATCTCTTTTTTTTCCTTACTTTAATACAACCGATTGATATTCTATTATTGACTATTATTATTGGACGAAATTTTTTGTAAACACTTATCAAATTTATCGTACATCAGCTTGATTAAAAAATTTTCGGTTTAATTATACACAACATTAACGTTCAACGTAATAACAGATAAATACTTCTTTATTTACGAATATATATACTTTTGAAAATTCAACACTATACACATGGATTTATAGATTCCAGAGTTTCGATCACAAATTAGATTTTGTCACTTTTACACTCCAAGCCTTTTTTATTTATCTCGAACGGTAATTTTTCACCAATCAAAACTTATAATAAAATACTTTCGAATTTGTACAACTCAGCGAGTACTCCGATCTGTAGTTAGCCAATCGAAAGAATCTTTCGATCAAACCTTATGTCGTCGAGCTAAACTTTGTGCTTTTAAAATCGCACGTTAAACATTAGCAGGCGTGTGCGATCATAACATTAAAAAAGTAGGCGCACGAGCAGGCGCAAAAAGTTGTTGCTTGACGTACAGCCGGTTCGATACTATTCTCCAGTTTGCGCGTCTTCGCTCTCCAGGCTGCACGATCGTGTGTACATACTGCTTATCCGCGAGACTGGCGTTTGGCACACACACGCGCACACACTTATACACACCAACTCGCACACACTCCTAGCCATTGTGGCCGGTGCGCAGGATTCGCGAACGAAGGAGGGGGACTCTCGTGCACAGATGTGTATACGAACGTTCACTTTCGCTATATACCTAGCGCGCATAGCGATGTGGTGGACGCCAAACGACCGTGTGTGTATATATGCCCAAGGATTTTGCTTCGTGTGTGCGCTGGGCAAGTTTGTGTGTGCTCTTATGCTCATGCGTGGGTGGGTGAACATACTGTAGGGTGGCTATGTCCCGACTTACGAGCTTAACCTACTGCGCAACGTGTACTGCGCTGCTGCTATAAGACGAGAGCTTTTCAAGTTTCAACAATTTTCGTCAAATCAAATTGAACGCATACTTTTTTTACTGTAAGGAAGTATCTCTAAACTTTATCAACTTAAATTCTTATTGTTAAATATCCATCATAATATATTTATTTTAAAAATTATCTGAGGTTCGTGAATTTTCTTCGGGCTGAAGTAAAACTTTTAACAACCAAGACAATTATACTTCGTGTGAAATAATATTTAAAAATTTTGACAATTCCAAATGATGTACTTTCCTGAAGTCTGTTTCGCACGATTTATGTTTTGCCAAACATTTCGGAATTATAAATCGTGCCTTATTATGACCGATATTTTTTAACTTTTATCGGAGTATCGATGCGCGTGACAATTTGCTGACCTTTCTTGAGAAACTAATAGTACTCGTGAACGTTTTCAGTGGCATATTACCGAGCTACTTTATCTTATCGGTTCTTCGTTTTTAGCAACAATTTTACTCTGCAAGGCGATAAGAGTAAAATCACTTTAACAATTTTAACGAATTTTGTACATCTTTACGGCTGGTCATGAATAACAAATAGACCAAAACAGTAAAGATGTTAATCGAATAGTAAACTCAAAATGTAATTTGAAAAAGTTGCAAAACTAAATTGGGCCGTTAATACTCAAATTTCGCATTGATTTTTGCGTCAAAGTATTTTTGAAAAAAAAATAGCTAAGCCGCCTTCACGTGCAACTGTCCGAAGAAGTGGTAATTGTCGTCAGTATAGATTTATATCAAGCCAGGTTTAATGTGAAACCCGTATGCCACGGTCAAAGACGCATACATATGCATAAACTGACCCTGGTGCCCGGACTGAACACGTGTAACTATACTTTTCGTAGCGAAACACTTTCTCCCTCGTGCCGATCTCGAGTTGAATTATTTATCGCGTGATGCTTGGAAGATACTGCACGGCATTGCGTCCGCGAGACAAGATAATTGCACGATTTCACGCAGTTTCATTATCTTTAAATTGATTGACAATATTATGAAAATTTCGTAAATTTGCATTTTAAGGAGAAAAAAAAGAGATGAGATTCACTCCGCCGTTTATGAATGTATCGATGATCGTTACGTGTAAATGCATGAATCTTGCAGCACTTCATCTATGATTCACAAGTACACGCGCGCACTCAAGATCTGAATGATATTGAGTTGCAATTTTGATTGATTTACAATGGCGAGAGCAGCTTTACTAGGTCACGTGCTTTGACCTCGTAATCGTTAAATCGCGAATTTCCATGGATTTTTTTCTCTCGCTTCTTTCTCTTCGATATATCGCCCGAGCGACTGATTGCATTCTCGTCGTCCGCTTCGTCGTCGCTCGGGTTCATTGTAAACGTCGATAGAATCGCGAGTAATTTACCCGAAAATGTTCATGCATCGAAACTCGTTCTCGGGTTATTAATATATTATGTACGGGCTTACATAAAAATGCAATAAAGAACGGCTCGAAATAAAAGCGACGCGCGTAATTACATATTCGAGGGCCCAAGCCGTGTATTACATGCAGCGAAGGATAAAACGACTAATTTTCGTAAATGCACGCTCGGTTGAATTTCGACGCGAGAGACAGAGTGAGAGAGAGCAAGAGAGAGAGAGAGAGAGAGAGCGCGAGGAACCCTATCGTTCGAACGCCTTACACAGGATACGTAAATGGTTCAACCGCGAATTTTTCAACTTTTTATTGACATACACATGCAGCTAGCTATACGTATATGTAATGCGTGCAACGCAAAAAATAGCAAGGGACGTGATGTATCGCGTGCGAGCCCATGTGTACAATACGAATTCACTTGTCTTCGAAAATGCCCGTGTACTTTCGAGTGCCGGAGGTCGACGCCAAACACGCAAATTAATTAAAAGTCCGATGTGGATGTAATTTGTGCTTTGTTATGCCTTCAAGCTCCCTACATAGAGCTTCAATTATCATTAATGCCTACAAATCTAATTACTTTATTAAAAAAAAAAAATTATGTTACCAATTCTTAATTTACTAAATATTTTATAAATCAAGTAGTAATTTAAAACGTGCATGTTAGAGTTTTCGGTCTTTATTGAAATACTATAATTTTATCGCGTTAGTAAATGCGCGATTAAATTGGTAAAGTAGAAATTTTGCCGCGACATTACTACGAAATTTAATGGGCCTTTAGTTGTCTGAGCAGTGCATAAAGTTAGGTGTATGCGTGAGGGTGCACTTACAGCACCTGTTCCGGTCGCTTGCCTAAAACATATATCTATATAGACTCTGCGGTGATTTGTTTGGCACATTACAAGCGAAAGAGTCTCTATACCGATCCGACCCCCACACCGATTTACCTATACCGTGTACGTATGTAGCCGTCGACGCTGTTAAATCGCGTACAGTCATGTGCTCGTACGTGTGTGTGTGAATGTCTGCGCGAGTAGGTGCATTTATACGTGCATGATCGGGCACATGTATGAGCATTGATCCTGGAATGTGTAAAAGCCGCGGTCGTTCGCCTCTTTTAACTTTCCTAAACTGCCGGGCTCGAGCTTGCAGACGCTATATAATAGGCATAGCTCGTGGCTCGACTCCGCTTCCGCGCGCGCCTTCAATATCGATCTCTCAAGCTCGCCTACTGCACATATGTACACGTATACACGTGTGTGTGCGCGTGTACGTATACGTGCCTGGCATCGCGCACATAAGTTGTTGCGATCGTGCAATATATTGTTTGAAGTTGATTGCGCTCGATGATTTGCGAAAATTCATGTGTTGAGCTGATCTACTTCTAAGCTTGCGCATAGAAAGCTCCGATGTTTTCGGTATACAGCGGGCATTAAAGCCTATAGTGGTATAGGCTCCATATGTCAAATTCCGGTTAATACTGATTTAGAATCTTGTTCAAATTAAATGTTACTACAATATGAAACCGCAATGACGTTTCGTTCGTTGAATTCACATCGGTGTTTTGAGGTTTTTATTTGAGCTTATGGGATCGGCGTGTATCAATCTCCAGCACACATTATATTTCCTTGTTCTTTTAATATTTCATCACGCCCGTTTTGTACAATAATCATGATATTTTCAGATGTCATCGATTAATTTTATGGCACGTTTATAGAAGCATTACATATTGCTGGATTTGGAATGGTGGAGTTTTTGAGGAATTCAGATTCATTATAATCATGATAAATGAAATCTAATAGCAAAATCTTACTAGTAGCTTCAGCGTTCGAACCACTTGTTAATTGTTAGCTTAACAAAGAACCAGGTTCTTACAGATTTCTCATCTTGCATATTCGTCTTGCGTAGGCGGTAGATGCATAATTACAAGTCGTGAAAATTAGAGCTTTTTTATTTGCCGAACAATTAGTACAAGAATGAATCAATACGCTCGCCGTATTTCATTATTCAAAGTTTAATATTTTTTATGTTTTGTAAATATTATCCCGACAACCATCAACCTTGTAAAAGTATTAATATTCAAAGAAACGAATGTGTAGCTCAAATAAACATGTGTAGCATGTGCGAGCCAGTTATTAATTGACTGTTCGCACACGTCATCGTATGTACCAAAGTCATTGTCAGATATACATTTAAATCGTAACTTTCGTTGTTTATTAGAAATGTGACTAATATTTTTTAAAGCACGCCGATGAAAGTACTTTGTCAATTTTTGATGAAATTTTAAGTATAATATTTTTTGAATTATTTTCTTGACGCAAAATCGTTGCCAATGTGTCTCGCGAGTCATTGCCAAGCATGATTGCACTGATATTTTCAGTGAACGCGTAATATGGTTCAGAGCGAAGCTTTCCACAATGAATTGTTCACGTTTTTCATAAAAATTAGCACCTTATAAAAGAAATCGCATCGAAAATACGAGCACAAGCGTAAATTATCCTCGCGCTCGAGGTTGAAGCCAAAGATCGTAGCGAACGAATGGGCGTAATATGTGTGCTTGCAAGGCCCAAGTGTGAATGGCTGCGGCAGGTGCTTGTCACGTATCTATATTTGTACGAGGCGCTGAGAGTACACTGAGCTGCAGAGAAGCGCATGTTCTTCTCTCTCTCTCTCTGTATGTATACTTGCGCGTGTGTGCAGTCACTATTTTAGTATTACAGTGACGATACACAGATATTTTTCACGCATTTGTCCATCAGCCATAGGCCGCATGTATGCATACGCGTGCGCGCACCTATACACGCTTCATACACGTTCCCAGAAAATAGGTTACCGAAGAGCGAGGAAAGAAATTGAAAAGCTTGTTTGAATTGCTTTTCGTGAGTGTGCGATTATTCAAAGGGATGACGCAGTTTTTGCATGTTAAGCAATCGCAACTTGAGCAAGCGCGTTGTAAACACTCTCTCGCGCGCGCGCTCAAAGTTTGTTGGATAGTTTATGAAGTATTTACGAGATGATATCACGAGAAGAATAGCAACTAATCGAATGCGCGCGAGGCTATTTTGAGCTTCGAGTGGCAAAAAAATATAGTGAAATACGGCTTTTCTCAAAACCGTATATAATGGCCACGCTTAATATGTATTTACAAGCCCTCGAAGTTCACGCTGTTTATTTTCTTGTTTTCGAATGTCGTTCTGTGCGCGGCGACTTTGAACTAAATTTTAGCTAGGCTTTTTCAAATGCATATCGTCTATAAGGTTAGACACGCAATCAATGCCAAAAGTGAAAAATTGAACTCAAGCACATTTTCAACTATAAATTATATTTCTCATTTGCCTTCTAATACGAACTCGCTTCGTAACTAATCGAATTGGATAGACACGAAAATTGCCGGAACATGACTAGACGCCGATTTCGTTCGCCATTTGTGATCCAACTCAACTTCGCGAGTAAGTGGAAATTTACTGACTCGAGAGTGATCATTATCGATCACTGCGAGAACGCGATATCATGAAAGCTCGCCGTACAGATATAATATGTATTTCAAGCATGTAAAGCATAAATCACGTCGATGACTCACCCTGAAGCTGATGAATCGTCGCCTGGTACTCGGCCAACTTTTCATCCACGTAATCCTGACTCTGACTCGCTATGATCTCGGCCGTGCTAGGTCCGACTTCGTCCACTTCGTCGTCGTACTCGCTGCGATGGAGCGAGCGATGCTGATGATCCAACGGTACGCCGACGTACTCGTACTCGCCGGGCTGATAAGCCGCTATCAGGAACTCGGGTGGTCCGCACGGCTGCAGCGGTGACTGGCAAACGGCCGCCGAGGGGATCGTTGCCGGCTGCGGCTGGTGCTATAAAATAAACCCAAGAATAGACTAATTAATGCGAACCACGCGTAAGAGTTGCTTGATTCATGCTCCGCTGCAAGCTCGAGCTTTTATTGTTGCTATCGTTTTGCAGCGGCTCGTATTATTGTATGGTGGAAACGGCGGTACTTTCTACGGCTCTATTTAAATACATTGTGCGAGAGCACAATTTTAAAGCGATCACGCTCTCGCTAGAAATTATCACGTTGCAAAGATGTAATTTTAAACATGGAAAATTTTAAACGTACGACCAACAGTAAGATTAAAAATCTAGAAAAAAAATAATAATAACATATAACAATAATGGCATATCGATGCCGCTTACATATTGAATAAAAATAGATTTCGAACATGAATGGGCAGTGAAAAATAAGCCGGTACAACTGTTATAATAAAAAAAATGTTAAAAATCCATCACGAGTTTAAGCTTGAAAGAAATTGTCTAGCCAGAAACTTTTAGCCAAGTCATTTTCATATAACTGAAAAAAATAAGCTCTACATCGTGTAGTTAAAAATATGATATCGGTATGGATCGTTAAACTTTAGCGAACATGTTTTTATTCCTCGTGACCCACAAGAAGCAATAATAATATTTTTTTAAATTAAGCTCCAACTAAGCTCGTCAGCTAAACTTGAATATTTGACGTTTGTCGTATAAAGAAGATTTCTACGACTAAGAAAACACTCACCATCGGCGATATCGGAATAAACGGCCGAGCAGCGGCGTTGGCCGGTGGTGCGGCCGGCGCTGGCCAACGCGGCCGCGGACACTGTATGAAACCAGGCGATGCCGGTGGTCCGCCGAAAACCGGTGACATGCCCGGTGACATGGGCATGCCGAAAGAAATCGGACTCATCGGATGATGCATGTGCTGCTGTTGATGATGAAATGCCAGCGGCACTCCGCGTGCTTGAGTCGCTGGACTGAATGGCGACGCCGGCCGGAATGGACTCGGGGCTGATGCCCGACTAGTTGGTGGCCAACCGCTCGGACCGCTGCCATAATTCGGCGGGCCACCCCTCGAGGGATGTTGCGACATTTATTTATTGAACGTTCAATGCTAAAGTTTAAAGTCGATGAGCAGCCTCAAGTTGATAATCTGCAGTTTTTATTTTTTTGCTCTTTTGGCATTTCTGAAATTTAAAATTGAGATTGAATTAATTTCAATAATTACTTTCAACTTTTTTACTATATTCAATAAAAAAAATACATCAAAAATTTCCCTTTAATTAAAAATATACTGAAGAAGAAAAACTTTGAATATTTCAAATAGTTAATTCTATTTGCTAACTAGTTAGATTCATTGAACTGCGCTCACTAATATTTTCATCGAGATCATAATGCATGTACCAGAGGTGCCCAGACGTTTTGAATTACTACATATTTGCAAAGCAGCTGAGATTTATTATTCTCCAGTTTTCAAAGAGAATAGTCTTCCTATAATACATTTATAGCGCAGCTGGCACATCAATTCGAAGGTGGGTATATATATACCAACTATATAGACGACCGTACACACAGTACACCATGCCACGTGTTTGGCTTTCGGCTTTTCGCATGCCGGGAAGACGATGTCCTATGATGTAACTCTGTATATACTGATCGCCGACAGAAATAGAACTCTGAACATGGCTTTTAGACATTGACTAGACGTGAAATCTTTCCTCGCACAACATTTAATTTTTATGATAAAATTCGATGTTGCATGAAAATTTTTGATTTTTTATGATGCTTCTACTGAATACAGGTAGGTTTTTAGAACAAGATAATTTATGTCAAACCTAAACATGATATCTTATCGTTTACAAAGACATGAGTGCACTCTAAAAATCATATTTTTCCAAATAATTATGAAATAACTACTTTCAGAATTGCAAATAAAGTTTAAACTTTTATTATACTGTTACGCATACAAAAACACCAATGACAACATAAACGAATCAATCAAAAGGTTACGTTCCTGGTCGACGTTTCTCAAAATAGAATAATGTGTCGATGCATGGCAACGTACGTGAGAAAGCACACATCAACGCATTTCATCTTCGACATATTTAGATCACCAATTCATCAAATTGCATTTGTGAAAAAATTGACATAGTAAAATTTGGTTAATTGAATTCAATTCAATTACCGTAGAAAAAACGTTCATTATTAAAGTTCGATTTCTATGCAAGCTCATCAATTATAATACGGTAAAAATTACGAAAATTGACGATCGACAGTTGAAAACAGTTAAGACGAGTAAAGACTGCAAAGGTTTTGAGCTTTTTGACCGGATACCGAGTGTGGGCCGCTTAAATTTAGAGACATTTCTATTTTTGCACAAATGGCGCTTTACATTACGCAGAAGAAACATAGGTATATACCTACAATAATTTAAATGCATATTTCTTTTGAAAGATGGCCCATGCGTTACTCATTGATTATTTCAATGACATTTTTAAATTATGAAAAAAATTAAATAAAAATTTGTCAGTTTTTTTTTCTATTAAAATGACTTTAATTGCCAACGCATTTAGAAAACAACGATTACTTTTAATAACAATTTGTTGAATGATATTATAATATAATATCTTTTAATGATTTATTTTATCGTTAAAGTTGTTGAGTGCATTTCTAAATAGAATTTCTAACTAGCATTAATAATACTATTTTTTATTAATTTTTTAAACTTACCCTAAAACACGCACGTGATTTAAACCAAACCATTGAGAGCTTTCATTACTTTATGAAATGCTGACCGAATGACATCAGTTTAGAATATATCGTTTAAACGTCAAGATACAGGTTCACACTTGTAGCTCAGAATCATAATCTATCTTACAAATAGGGTTGATGACAGAAAACTACCGAAGACTGATTATGACTTTGTCGCTATGTTTACACAAAGGAAAACGTTTTTGAATATCTCTCTTTGTGAATGGGATTTTTTTAATTTTTATCAATTTATCGAAACTGCTAATAGATTTTTTCGGAATGACTGCAAATATTTATCTGTGCTTCAATGAAAACTTTTTTAAAATGAGACATTCCTCTAAATTAACTTCGTCATTCCGAAATTATTTGAAAAATAATTAAAAGTTTATAGCTTCGTACGACGCAACTTGTGCAATAATTATGAAGCTTTGTTTAAGTTTTGAAGGAACTATTAAATTTATAATTTATTAGTTCCCTGAAAGTTTTTGAAAATTGTTTGAACACTCTCTACTTTTCCTCATATTAATGCCGAGTTTCGTTCGAAGCTTATAGATTATAATAAATTCAAACGATGTGAATTAAAAAACTATTCTTGCACTAAGCTCATCCAGCTTGAAGTGATAATTTACTTGACGCATCTGTACGTATTACCCACGAATAAGCGCGTATTTTCTTGGAGATCCTCAACGATTCTAAAAATAATGCAATGTGCCGATCATTGCAGACCAAAATAGGATAATGGTTTTCGACTCTGGATCGGTAAAGTTTAACCATTCAAAACCATACATATTACACACTGAATCGGGCCTGCACATGACTTGAAAATGAAAAATAGTTAACTTGACTGAATTTGGACGTTTGTATGCAAGCTCTCGATTCTAAGAAGCGCGTGTCTGTTCAGAACAATTCCAACTACTGTATAGAAAAAATTCATTTCTCTGGGCCATGGTCGATTTTTGGCCTCCAATGAAAATATTTTTCAATCTTGTGACAAATGAAAATATGCGTAGTGCGATAATTACAAATTTGATTTAATTATTGATATAGAAATTGACGTTTATTGCAGATGTGTAGTGCGTACTTAAACATTTACTTTATTGCATTAAATGTTTGTTTGAGCTGTTTACAATTTAAAAATAAATCATTTTATGCTGCAATAATATTATGTCTCGGTCAATGACCCTAAGCTTTTCTTCCGTTGAGTTTTTTTTTCAAGTTTGATGTCTGTCATATTTAGTCCGATTAGGTTTTAAAAATATAAGCGGATGTAAAAATAAATAGGAAACAAATAAATCTGAGAAGTCAGTCAAAGCTATCAAATATTAAGGCGTTTCAAAAATTATAAATAATTCAAAATATTTCCACGTGCTCAAATATTCTTAATGCTTTAGAAAAATGTTTCATAAGTATCGATATTGGATAAACTTTTAGTACACTTAATTGATTACTTTGAAGGCGTTATCCTATCATATGAATGTTATTCTTAATAAAACAAATACAATTTGAAAATACAGATTCACAACTCACCCTAGAAACTATCCATTATAAAACTTTAAAAATTCTTGCAGTAATAATTAATAATAAGTAACTTCACCAGGGTATTTTGTATTAATTGGAATACACACAAAAAAAGCACACCGTCCCGATCTTGAGATCGGTAAAAATCGATCCTCTTAATTTATTATTATGTCAACGCTGCACATATACGCATGTATACCGATCATAAACAAATTTAATCACTCTCGCTAATCAATACCAAGGTAACTTTTTCTTTTTTATTGTTAAGACTCAATTGTCAGTTGAGTTGCGTCTCGCGGCGAGAGACAGTCACAACGAGACTAACGCTGGATCATCCGTCTATTGGGTCCAGGGGCTCGTGTTTAGCCGCCCGACGTCCCGAGCGTCGATTATATTTAGGTTTTGGCATCACTCTTTTCTTTCTCTCTCTCTCTCGCTTGCTCGCTCGCTCGCTCGCTTCTTCACTCGTGCAGCGCTTCACCTCGCGCTTACTCTTAGAGCTTATTTCGTTCATTTGTAGGGAAGGTACATTCGACGATGGGCAGATATATCTTATACCAACAAACGGCTTTTTTATTTTGAGGAACCGCTAGTTTCTTTCTAAAATTGAGCCGGAAAAGGGAACTTGTTACCGTGGAGTTTTATACAGAGCCTACCTTATTTCATGAACTTGTAACAGTATCGAATGTTTCTATGATCTACAGGCTCATTCTCTCCTTAAATTATCGTACGTAATATAAAGAGAGATAGAGAGAGAGAGAGAGATACTATCATTTTATTAAGTTCCGATCAAATCAATTTTTATATGTTTTGCAACATTAAAAAACAATTATTCACTCATGCTTGTGGAAGGTTTAAAAAGCGGTACTTAAAGATTTAAAAAAAAAATTTACGCTTATTTTTAGATAACTCGTTAGTATTTCCAGAAACATTAAATTGAAATTCAAACGATAAGAATTTTCGTAATCCTGTGTGGGAAAACCCCCATTCAATATCAAGAATAATAAGAAGAAAGTATTGATAGAGATTTTGAAAAATCTGTTTTGATCGAGTTGTGGCTAAATTTACCGTCTCACCATTCTATATATATACACTTGTAAGAATCATAGATAAGTTTGGCCAAGAATCCACGAAATAAACTAAAGAAGTCTATCTTAGCTCTAATCAAGATTTTAGCCAAATGTAATTTTCACGAATAAAGTATTTGACCGAGTGATATTTTTACTTTACCACAAAGCGTTGCTTTCAAGAGCTCTTTAAAATTTCTTTTTAAACAAAAATCAGCTTAATCAGGAATACATATTCGCTAATTTTGCAAGTGTTGATAATTGATCAATAACAGTAAATCGATCATGTAACGAAAGTTTATTGTACTTCAACTAATGAAATCACAGCTTTCAGTCACATATACTGATAATTTAATCTTTTACTTGAAGTTCTCTTGATTTTTAATATTGATCATTTAATTTGAGATGATTGGATTTGAAAAAAAATAACAATTGTCGCAATACTTTAATGAAATTCCGTCAATGTAATAGCTGTATCCATGCCACCATAAACAATTCGTGACTGATAACTATCAATAGCTAAAGTAGCTTTTGGCGTTGCGAATGCAGCGACAATCTAAAATAATATCAACATATAGCCGCATTGAAAAAATTTGTATACGTATTTTCAATCAACGCTTATTTTACCTCTTTCGTTTTAAGATTTATAATCTCCACGTTTCCGATGGAAGAGCTGCCGACTATCACGTGAGTACCATACGGATCACCATGAAAAAATTGAGCTGCATAGATATGTTCGCCTTTCTCAGATACCGAACGATTAATGGGATTGATCGTCTCGATAAGCTTGCAGCTCTGCAGGTCCCAGATTTGCAAACTATCTTTAACCACGTGAGAGCCAGTCAACAGTCGGTCTTCCTATATCGAAAATGAAATTTAAAAAATAGTATTTCGGCTTACTGAGAAAATTGAACTTAACATTTTTGGAACAAGGTAGAAATTTCTTGTTACAAAGATTTATGATTACATGTTTTTTTTTAAGCTTACGCGTATATCGATAGAATCTCCACAGATGTGGGGTCCATGAATCATTCGAACACATTTTTCACCTATGCGTGAATCCCATATCTAAATTTAAAATAGAATATTCAAAATGTGGTTTGATGTATAACTGTTATATCGACTGTTAAAAACTGTCTTGAAAGTTTTTAGTTTCAGTCTTATACCTGTAGATGTCGGCATCGTATAAAACGCGGCCGATTCTTAGAATTCAATATTCACTCATATTTATTTTTATTAAATGCCCTTACTTTCACAGTGTTATCCCATCCTCCACTCATAAAAACGTTATCATCTGCTGGATTGAATTTTACAGCATAAACTCTCATTTGATGCAAATTCACTGCATTTTCAGGGATCATGACTTCTTTTTCTTTTTGATAATTCATAATAATCTAGAGAAAGTAACGTGGAAATTATTATTCAATATTTTTTGAATAATTATTGGAACGCATCGATTGAGGGATAAATTACTTTTCCTGTGTCAACATCATAAACTCTGATACCGGCATCTTTACCTCCTGATACTATCTGCTTTCCCGAAATATTAATATCAATACAATTAATTTCGTTGCCGGTTTCTGAATAAAATGATTATCACTCAAAGTCGTAATTTCGGTTGATTTTTCACAATTTTACAAATAGAATTACCTTCAGCGAATTTCCAAAATTCTATATTATCGGTTCTACAAAGATATATATTTCCACTTGCACTAGAAGCGAAAAATACTTCTTTTTCATTTGGATGAAATCGACAGCTTGTGATAGGTAGTGAAGTATCCAAACTGCATTTGATTGTCATTCGTAACTCCCCTGTTTTCCCGTTTCTTAGCTAAAACCCGCATAAAAATATTCTTTACGAAGCTTACTCCAAAATTGAAGCTTTTTAAATAATTTATTTATATACCTGAATACAACCTGATCCAAAAGCCGATGCAAATGTTTCACCATTTGATGAGAATTTTGCTGCGTACATACCAAATTGTTTGTCCTCAAAATAAATTTTTCGAATGATATGATTACGATGTTTAACTACAAATTCATTTGACTTTTTTGAGTCTAAAGTTTCACGCCTATCCCCATTTTCTTCGGAAAGTTTACCATCGACAGAAAATTCTGAAAACTAATTTTAATCTATCATCGTTTGAAATATTATATTAATTTTTTTTATAAATACCTGCTTCAAACGACTAATTTCCGATTTAGTAGCATCTATATCTCTATAAGAGTTAAGATTAAATGAAGCACCAAGCGATGGGCTCGAAACTTTTTCTATAAATTTTTTTGAAAATCATCGATGAATATTAATAAAAATATTTTTTATCTAAATATTATACTTTAAGTATTACCAAGAGGTTTCTTCACTTTAATTATTGACACATAGTTTTCCATTTTTTATTGTTCCCTCAAATTCTTAGGTCTTTCCATTAAAATTGTAAAAAGTATTTTTGACTTACAATTCACGTCAAATGTATCAAGCCTTTAACATATAACCTCACAACTATTTTGACAGTTAGCAGAAGGATGATACATAAACGAGCATGAATTAAATCGACAGTAAGCTCAAGATGTATGCTATATAGGTAGTTGTCAATGAATAGGAGTGAATTGGTTATGTCCGTTAATAGTATTTGGCCGAGCTTGCAGTGTATTCACAATGATCGTCCGGATAATATTTTTTTTCGGTTTCATGCGGCCTCTATTAGCTCAAACGGTATCCACGTCTAATTCCTCAAGTTAGTTTGACAATGTTTACTGTTCTAGTTTTTTAACCAGGTTTTTTTTTCACTTTAAATATTTTTAATTCGAAACAATTGTGCAAACAAGTTCGATAATACTTGATTACAATCAATCTAATCACAGTGCTCAGTGACATATACATTTTAAAACAACGTGTGGTTTTCAGATTAAATCAATTTAATCATTCTAGTAAATTTATTTTTGAGTGGCCGTTGCAGTTACGATGAATGCAAAATATTACTTCAGATGAAAAATAAATTAAATAATATTATGACATCAGTTATCTACTTCTAAAATGTTATCTTTTTGCATGAAGTTTAATAAACGAAAGTCGAATGACATATGCACAATTAGACCGGCAAATAGTGACCAATAATAGGTTCTGATTTTTAAACTTATGCCCTTGACAAGTCTGAAAGATACATCGATAACAAGCTCAAAAAATAGAATATTACGCCCTATTATCGTAGCGATTTTCTTTTCAATTTGTAACAAATTTTGGCCTTGTGTGCTGATTTTTTAGCCAATGAAAGGGATGACTTTTAAAACTGATAGAATAATTAAATAATAATGGCATGAGTGCCACTAGTAAATATAAAACTAGACTCTACGAAAGTTGTACAATATTTTGGGTTAAAAATCTTTCACATCTTTCGTAGAGTCTAGATTTTTATATCTACTAGTGGCGTTTATGCCATTATTTTTTATGTATTCTATGTGCACCCGATCATGGGTTTTTCTTACATTATGACCATATCGATCTACACCAAGGGAAACTTAGGTGCTCTTATACCTAGCTAGATAAAGACTCGATCAGTGTAAACTATCATCTTTTAATAATGGCATAACTTAAAAAATTATCACACAAAGCCAAAATTTGTTACAAATCGATATGTACTCTAAAATATATCGCCACGAAAATACGGCGTAATATTCCGTATTTTTGTGCTTGTTATCGATGTATCTTTCAGACTTTTCAAGGGCATAGGTTTAAAAATGAGCACCTATTATCGGTCACTATCTACCGGTCTAAATGTCTGCATTAGATAATGACCATCGAATTAAAAAATTATTTCATGAGATTTTAAATATTTCTCGTTTGAATATATATTTTGATAATGCATCGATCTAATTTTTCTAGAACTTCCAACTTCCGGAAATGAAACTTGGGTTGATAAATTGAGGCATGATATACTAAAGAAATATGATAAATGGACAAGACCAACAGAGCATTATAATAAAACAACCTTATCTGTCCACCTCAGCATATTTCACGTTGAAATCGTAGGTTTTATCATACAATTTTTTCTTCAAAATTGTATACTTTTCACCTTGAATATTGTTTTTGCTTTCGGCAGGATAGTAAAAAAAGTATGATGACTGTTAATTCTTGGGTGCATTTGGTGAAGTGTATTCTATATTTATTAAACGAAAAACAAAATTAAAAGTTTTGAAAAAATTAATTTTTTGAACTTAACCATAACAGAATTGGGATGATGCGAAATTAAAATGGACACCCGAGAACTATGGAGGCATTAAAGATTTAACACTTAGACTTCACGAGTTGTGGTTACCTGATTTGTATCTTTACAATAGGTACTGAAAGTTCAATAAAGTTTCAATTTTTTTTTCAAATTAATTATTTCATTTATAGTGCTCTCCATGAAACTGAAGATTGGAAAAGCAGACAATGCATTGTACACTATGACGGAAAAGTAACTTCAACCGCGTCTACTATTTTTTTCAGTTACTGTGAATTAAATTTAATTTTATGGCCTTTTGAGACAAACATTTGTGTTTTAAATTTGGGTTCGTGGTCTCACAATGGCAATGAAATTGACGTGAAATTTAAAAATAAAGGATATGATGTAAGTAATAAAGTACCTCATTAGCAGTAATGAAATCTATGAAACTATGATGAATACATAGTATTATGAATTTACATAGCTACAACATTATACCGGCGGGGAATGGAAAATTCTAAATATTTCAGCTCATCGAAGAGTGCACATATATTCTTGCTGTCCAGAACCTTACATTATTTTAGACTATTATTTCAAAATATCAAGGATTTCAGAATTGAATTACCATATTGTATTCATTGTACCAATACGTAAGTAACTTATTTAAAACGATATTGTATTGTTAGTTTACTGAACTTTTACTGTAATTCTTTCAGCGATTATATTCATGGTTTTAATAACTTTTTGGTTGAAACCACAAAGTGAAATAAAGTTGGTACTGAATATTTGTGCGATCATAATCAATATTTTAATTATGTTATATTTTGGTCTTGAAATACCACCAAAAATTGAAAGTATGCCACTAATAGGTATTTTTTTCTTAATTGCATCTTTTGAGTTTTTTCACTATTACAATACAAATTTGAAATAAAAATAAATATTTCATCATTAATAATTTTTCAGTTACATTTTTTAGCTCTTGTCTACTACAAGTTACAATTTCTATGATTATTTCAATTTTTGTCATTCATATTTCTACAACATTCTATAATCGGCCAATTCCAAGACGAATAAAATCAATACTGTACGATCGGTATGGAAGATATTTTGGATTATGCAATGTAATTAACGAGGTGTGTAATGAAGTAATAATATGTTGTATCTTTAAGGTGATTCCGAAGCCCCGATTTTGACCAGCCGAGCATTAAAAGTGTAAGTTTAAATAACTTTTTTACTAGACCGATTTTCGAAAAACGGCTCTGTGGAGCCCTCCATATTAATGCTGTGAATAACTGTACTAAATTTCATCCCATTTCATTCAACAGTTTTTCCGGAAAACGGGATCAAAATTTTAAATTTAGGTTTTCAGGCTTAAAAATTTCGATCCCGTTTTCCCGGAAAAACTGTTGAATGAAATGGAATGAAATTTAGTACAGTTGTTCATGGAGTTGTTCTCCAATGCGGAGGGCTCCACAAAGTCGTTTTTCGAAAATCGGTCTAATAAAAAAGTTATTTAAATTTACATTTTCAGGTTACGGTCGGTAAGAAACGAGGCTTCGGCATCACCTTAATCAGAAAAATCGCATTAATATGATAATTAAAAAACCATTATTCATTTCTTTAATTTTATTTATTTGTTAATTATCTCATTTTCTTTGTCATTTCTTTTCTAGATCGAAAATCAAAAATTTTCAGATCTTCATGAACCGCAAAATAATCGTGCTACAGACACTACAATGTCATCAATTCATACCAATGGAGATGAACAATCGATCATTTCTCAATCAAGAAATGTGATGAGACTAGAATGGTTATTGTTAGCTACTTTTATTGACCGTGTTTCATTCATACTTATTGCTGTTGTTTTTATATTCACTGCATTAGCTTACATTCGATTAACTAGGGGGAATTTTATGAATAAATCAGAATAATACTTGAAAAAATATTCAGAATTTTTTTGGCATTACAGTATAATTGTATGATAACAATTTTACATTATTTTAAGTAGATTCACTGAATATACTAACTCATGTTATGCATACATTAAACAGAATACAATCAGATCTTCATCGGAGAAAGTAAAATTATACACTTGTTATGAGCTGGAACTAAAATATGGTTGATTAAATACTTGTACAACTGCATGTAATCATATATTAGCAAAAATAAAACAACTTTAAATATCACGAAGTACGTGATAACATTACTAAACTAATTATCTATAAATATTCTAAAGCCCGTCAGGAGCCACACGTTGATAGGATGACATTAAAAAGTGAGCTATAAAACGCTTTTTTATCGTTGGATTATATTCGGTGGACCACGCCAGTGGACATTCGGTATCGCGCAGTATATTTCTTCCAATAAAATTCACATTGCTGATGCAAGATTTTATTTGAAACAAAAATTGAGAGTTGTTGTTTCGTTTTAAGCCATGAATATGAATACAACCATGATGAAGCTCATTATTTGGGCTTGTATTGTGGTTATTCATTGGTTTCCTACTCAAACCGATGCCCACGGAAAACTGATGGATGCAGTGAATAGAGGGTCAGCATGGAGAAAAGAATTCCCTGTGCCAACAAATTTTGACGACATGGGTAATAACTGTGGAGGACTTGATGTAAGTGCTAATTTTTTATGTAATTCGAATGAATTTTAATATTTAAATTATCGAATATATATTTTTGTGCCACCCCAACCTAAAGTAACATTTTACTCCCGCTGCGCAAAACCAAAATGTTACTTTAGGCTGGGGGATTCACAAAAAATTGTATTTGCACCTATGTAGCGAAAACATCATATAACCTCGGCTTCGCCTCGGATGATAAATTACACATGCTCTGAGACTTTCCAGTTTTTCACTCCCTTGGTGCAAAATATACTATTTCTTCATCCCATGGTGGAAAGTACGTACTTTCATCTTCACATTCGGGGATGAAAGTAACACTTTTGCTCCCTGTCAATATCGCGCGAAAGTAATTATCTCCATGACTACGGTAACCAACATTTGAAAACGAAGGCTCCATTTGAATTAATATTAAACTCAGCCAAAGAGTTTATTTTCGATCTGCGGCGCTCTTAAAATTACCTTGAGAAAAAAAACGAACTATGTATTTTAACGTAAAATTTTTCGCTCTTTTCAAATCTGAAATAAAAAAAGGGGGTCACCGTGCGAAAAATCAATTTTGGTTCGCTATAGCTTAGAGGTTATGTTCAAGGTCAAATTCAAGGTTACCATTGGATTCCTCGATGAAAAATACGTTCAATGTGTGGTTTTTGATTTTTTTTAATGTTTATTTTGCGATAATTTTAGGAGTTGCCAAATAGTTTAGCCGCCCAATTTAACATGTATTTCGCCTATATAAGGGCTAAAATGCCGGATTTCCGGGGCCTCGTTTTCGGTTATAGAGGCAAATTCCAAGATCCTTACTTACATAGCTTCAAACTAAATGTAATCAACTACTTTCACATAAAATTTCAAAGAGATTCATGTTACTAGAAAAAAGTTACAGCTTATCGAAATCTCGAAAAAACGCCTTTTTTCATAATGTTCGTACCTTTAAACAGCTCTATCTCCGTCATTTTTTAACCAGTCTTAAATCCGCGCACGGCAATTTGAAGGTAATGAAAATACCTTTAAAATGAGACCTTGCAAAAGTCAATACGTCAATCCTATCGTCTTCTACATTAATTCAAAAAAAGGTAAAAAACGACAATTTTGCGATTTTTCATCCCCCTTCATTGCCCTCCCATAACCGGGGGTGGGGTTATCCAGCTCTACATAATTTTTTTATGAAAAGTACATACCTTGACCTAAAAAATGCAACCCTCAAATTTAAAAAATATGCACCAGTGCCTGAGTTACAAATATTTGAATAATACGCAAAAATAGGTAAAAACGGCTATTTTTGGACCTTCGAGGGGCCCAAAATTGAGCCCCAAGGCCCCTACAGGGCTAAAAATTTACCTGAAGCCTATTTTCACATACCCAAATAACATACTAAATTTTGGGGTAGATCCGAGAACCCCCCGCACAAAAGTTGTACTAGAAAAAACTGCTCATATATTAAATTCATATATTCATATTCCAAAGAAAATTTTTACAACAAAAAATTTCCGAAATCGTTCAGAGAATTTATGTAAATTTTGACAGAATTGATCAGATTTTGAAAAATCCCAAATATTTTTAAAAAAGTATGGAAAAGTTCTCATGTATTTTTTAAACGATTATAAAACATTTCTCTGTGAAGCTGATTGTTGTTAAGTAAAAAGTTAATGGATTAATTTCTCGTTGCTTCGTGGATCTCGGATCAAGTACACGTCTTTTGGAATTCCGTTTTTTATTAGAAAAATAAATCGTGATTTTTATTTATCACAAAATCAACTTCAGTTCTGAAAGAGCGGACCCGAAAACCCACTCGAGTACAACTCGAGAAAAAAATTTTTATCTATGGTTTCGATTTGATTGAAAGTTCATACCCAAAATTCATTTTTTGCTCATTACATAGTCGAATGATATTGGATTTTCATGAGCTTCTTATATTTAAATTTTTAAACATAATTATTTGTTACAATAAATATGTAATATAATTTTCAAATCTATGTTTTAAATGATGTTGACATCCATTAATACAATTAATTTATAACTAATCGAGTAGTAAATACTAGAATCATTTTTTAGATAGATTTTTAATTTCGCAGTGCTGTTGCAGTATTTGTACTACATCCAAAGCGCATCCCCAACAGAGCGTTACACCACTTCCTCCATGACCGTAATTGTGAATTATCTTTAAAAATAAACACACATAATTAATTATTTAATTTATAAAAAATACAATTGAAGAAAAAAATTATTACCGTCAGATTTTTTGAGTCAGAATAGCTAACAGTTTCTTTCTCTAAGCGTACCTCTTTTCTCACCGGTCGAAGTCCCACCCAATGAGTTAATTCTTGGCATTTCTGAAAAATAAACTCTGAATTAATATTAGCATTAATTAAATACATCAATTCAAGTATATTGATTTTCATACATTAATCGATGGATACATTCGTTCACAACCTACACGTATTGCAGATAAATCGTCTTCTCTTACAGAAATATCAAAATCACCCTTTTGTTTTGTTCCTCCGAGTATTACCGTATCTACACTAAAAAAATTCAAAAAACATTTTTGGATTTCATCTTATATTTTTCAAGTAAAAACATTTTTATATACTTTGGAATGACGTAATTTCCGTCGCCATCTTCTTCCAGCATTACCTCAAATAACCACGGTCCTTTAACCTGTTATTGAGATTTCATATTGTTATAAACTTCAAATTTCATTAAGTTCATTAATAGAAAAATATTCACTCTAGTAACTTGTCCCCGAACTGGTACAAGTGATTTGTCTTTCAAAAGATCTCTCGATCCCATTCCAGTGCAGTTTATAATAACATCATATCCTTCATGGTATAAATTCTCCAAGCTTTGAACTTTTCTTTCAACAATTTTTCCATTGCTTTGCTTGAATTTTTCCATCAACCACGGCAAAAGCTTTGTAGATTCACAGGTGTAAGTAACAAAATGAATGGCCCCACTTTAAAAAATTACCTGTTTATTTATTATTCAATTTATTTATTACACTTTTTTTACCCATATTTAGATTTATGGCGTTTATTGAAACTCTCTAATTCATCATCTGATAACTCATAAGCACCATAAGCTGCAGATGCCCAATCAGGTAAAGGATACCCCTCTGGCTCATGTGTGACTCGATATAATGGCAATAAACAAAGACCAATATCTGCAGCCAAACCCTTTTTCCAAAAGTTCTCCATCCATCTATGAGTTAGCGTAGACCAACGTCTGTTGAATAATTTCAAATATTTTTAAGCGTATTGTGGCATATTTATACGTTATATGTAAATTTGAACAAAATATCATATAGCGATTGTCAATCGCATTATTTGATTTATTATTTAATATTTATTTATTTAATAAACAAGTCTTACAATATTTTCGTCGGATCGGTATTTTCAAGAACGAATGGACTCCAAAGACCTGCACTTCCATCTCCCGTTGTGTATGGTGAAAAGATCTCAGAAAAAATAGTCACCTCAGCAGCTGGAAATGCCTGTTGTACTGCTAGGGCAGATGTCACCCCAATAACTCCCGCGCCCACTATTGCAATGTGATTTGGCACGTTCATACTACTAAAATATTTTAATATTTGAAAATAAAATAATATATCAGTTGTTAATAAAACAATGATGTGCACTCCGCGAACAGTTACGATACAATAAGAATATTAACTAATCTTATCAATCAACAATAATATAATGAAATTCATTATCAATTCCAGCGCTGCATTATATGTCTACTTTAAAAAGTTTATCTTGGATTATTATTTGGTACTTTTCAAATTTATTAAATTTTTAAAATTCCATTATGCCTTCAACTTTCTGAAGAGAAACTCTTTTTGAAATTATTATTTTTTACGAAATAATTGTCCACTTCGAAATATAATATTTTATTTTTTATAGATCATATTGTTCTTGATAACACTGAATGAAAGTTATAAGCTGCTCCTATTGAAAGCCAACAAGATAATGTACTCAATATCGCTTTCATGAAATTAGTTAAACTAAAAATGACAGAATAACAATTCTGGACAATGATTACGATGTTCAATGTTTGTATGGACTAATGGCACCCTGTTTATTTCTAAAAATAACCGTTGCAAAATACATTTTGAAAGAGCTTCTTCCTAAAAATTTGGTCATTCCTATCTATTGTTGCGTGTGGGTCATTTTTTCGAATAATCCTGTGCGATGAGTTCTCAGATTTTAACTCAAAAAACACATTTTCCTCTTTGGGCAACGATATTAATAACTGGTTAATAACTATGCGTGTATGCAGTATGAATTTCTTTACATAAGGCTGCAAGTAACAAGAATGTTTTGGCTGTCATCAAACACCAGCGGAAGGAATGAAGTTACACCTTGCAGCGGACGATAAGGAGAACAAAAAGTTGATTTGTAGTCTTATTCTTTGTGCCTACTGCTATGTCATGAGTATCACTACGACAGTCCAGTCGATCACCGGTTTGTGCAAAGCTTGAAGTATCTTGTTAAGATTATTTATTCAACAAACTTAAAATTCACAAAAGTATAAACTTGTATTGTACCTTTTATTCGTAAGTATAATCAAGTTTTAAATTAAGGCATATCGATTAAAGGAGATAATTTAAGTAAGAAATTTTGTTTAATTTTTTAAATTGTTATGATATTGAGGTACATTTAAAATCATAAAAATATTTTTATTTCATTTACAATCATACGATTCGTAATAATATTCTTAATATTTTTATTTTCAATTAAAATTAAAATTGTTAAAGTTTTTACTTTTACATCCATTCGCTCTAAGTAACGCCATCTTGAAACCAAACGGCAAATCTACAACGCTGTTCGCAAGCTCGAGTGATAAATTCTAACTAACTCGTTAGATAATATAGAAAATGACAATACTTTTTTTTGAATAATCATATCATTCTTATCATCTTCAAACCGGTTATTAACGTTGTCAAACTATCATTTATATATAAAGTAATATTTTGTTGATGACTTCAAGACTCCCTTATTTCAAATAATTGGAATTCGAAAAATATACTCTCTTTTTTTTTTAATGAACAAGCATTAATAATGTTGTAACTAATCATAATTCAAGCACGATATATTTCGACTTATAATTCGATACATTTTTCTGCGAGCAAATGAACTTTGTAATATTAATAATATATGGGATGACTTAATCTGACACATTTGTCATTGAATTGCGTATTTTTATTTCTTTATAATATTTTGATCATATATATTTGAAGCTTTTATTATTTTAAAAAATTTATGGATTTTAAATAACAATTCAAAAATAAATAGCCCAACTAAAAAACCAAATTAATTGTAATAAACAGAAAAGCACGTTTGGTATATCCTCATATGTATAGTTTCTGTAACGTATAAAATTTGTACTTATAATTCATGCGCTTGTAACAAAGCTATAACAGCGTGCGCTGCCCACTCGGCATCATATCTTAGGTTTTTAATTCTCACGCGTTTCTCTGCTTTGTAGATGCAAGGGCTTTTTGTTATATTATTTGCACCTTTGAAAAAAACGTTAACTCCGGTGTGGCCGATACGCGTGAATGTACTCGAGATTTACTTGTGGAATTACGTAAAGGTGCACACTGAGTGGCTGCAGAAACACTTTATCTCTTCATACAATCTTATCTAATTTGACTGATTCATTGTTGTAAACCAAAACAGCTTCCATGAGCGATGTACCAGACGCTACATGTACTCAAATTTACATAGTGGTTGCTTCACTTTGCTAATCTTGTATATCTCATTCACACTTTAAACACAAACAATGATCTTTCATTTATTTCTGCTTGCAATTTTGATATTAGGAACGGGGATAATCTTCCTGGTGAAAATGTTCAATATTTTATGGTACGTTTTTGGCCAACGAAAAAATTTCTTGGATATAAAAAGGATCATTAGAAATAGATAGATTACTATTAATTTATTTGAATCTACTTAAACTATGCTTTAACTTATACAATTACTTCTAATTTGCTACTTGCAGATTTATGTATAAAGGTTCTCGCCATGTAGCATTAAAGATTTAAAGTGGTATAATATCATATATAGAGTGGTTTAAAACTGGTCTGAATTTTTAATATAGTTAAATTTTCATTTTATGTCATCTAAATTGCACTTGACATCTGTAGCATAATTCGAACAGAAAAATCGCCAAAAATAAGCCAATGATTGGTAGTGTTTTTTGCAACATTTTGAATGGTCAACTTTAATCATTAGGCCAATAGGGATTTTATGTTTCATTTTTACACGAACCAGAAATTCGGTAATAAAATTAAAATTAAAATAAATATAGCGTTTCAGGGACTGATGTTACATTGTGAATGACAATAGCAACAACTATACACGGGTCAGCATTGGCAAAGCCTCTTTTTCATTAGGTTCACATAAAAAAATCTGCTCAATATTTTGGAATTACTTAACGAACTAGGCTGCTGTTTTCACATCAAACATAACATTTATTTTGATGAACTGACACAAATTTTAGTTATAATTAAATGATAATAATTATAATCATTTAGAAACACATCATAGATATAATAAATTTGTTATTTTCTTAATAATTGTTGGATAATAATAATAATTCGAAATATTTGTTCCATATAGCGGTATGAAAATTTGCTATGGAAGAAACTATTCTATAATAATATAATAAAATAATTTATGTATGCAATTACTATATACTGATTTAATTTATTGATCATAAAAACTTCAATTTTTAGTTCATTTTCCGTATCATGATTGAGGGACATTTTTAAAAAAATGCACACAATATATTCAAATTAAGCAGGTGAAAAATGATCCAATAGGTCGATCGCATAAAAAAATTTGAAAGTGCATGCATTATCATTTTATGATTAACGATCTGTTCAATGTGATTGAAAGTCGAGGCGAGGAGGCCTAGATCGGTTGCCATAGATGCGCTCGGCGTTCGCATTTACGCCCTGTGCGTAAGTACGTCGCGCGTTACGGTCGTTATGAACACCCTTGGCATATGATAATTATTGATTCTCAAGCACGACCAAGCGCGCACAGCACTTATTGCTCGCGCTGCCGACTAGATTATTGCTCCAATTTTACTTTATCCTGCAGCTGTTTATACATAGTCAGCATGACGATCTGGTATTACTTTTTTCCTACATTTTCAAGTGTGCTGTGGAAACTACATCAGCATATGCTGCGAATTTTTTCAAGCGTTCATAAACGTATGCGATTAATTGATAATGTTGGTTTTTTACATTCATAATTATCCCAGAAATCTACTCAAATCGATCGATATATGTAGTCTGCTTTATATTCCGAGGAAGTTTTTATTTTTTTTTACTATCGGAAGTTGACGTAAAAAAAATGCAAATGATTTCTGAACAATTATGAGTTGTGAAATAGTATCCATTGAACGAATTTTCAAAATATTTTTATCGTACGGCTTCTTCGTTGCATAATAAAGACTGGTTCGATATTCTATGTGTATCTTTTAACTCCAATAGAGGCTGATTAGAATACGAGTTCTTGAGCACGTGAAAGCTGTATCCTATGATTTCGAACACGCTTTTGCATTCTCATGGCATATCTGTAATGGATTAACTAGAACCTTTAAAAATGGTCTTGCGCAAGCTTTAAAAAAATTTGTTTCGCTATGATTGAAAATCATAATTGTACCTAGTGATCATGTATTTCTCTGATTAATCCTAATGAAATTTGTCAAAAAAGTTTCGATCGTAGTAGAGCGGTCAAGTTGACTTATCAATACACAGTTTCGCAGAGTTGCACAGATGACTGCGCGAGATGAGAGTCCTAAGGTACACACGAGCACATACATGCTTAGGTAGAATGACTTCTCTCTTTCTCTCTTTCTCTCTCTCTCTCTCTCTCTCTTTCCTTTTAATAGCCTGGCTATAAAGAAAATTTTCTACGGTGGCGGTGACCGTTTACAGGAGCGAAGGAAGCGCGCCGCACACACAGCACCTACGTATATAGCATACATCGATATATACAACGGCGAGCGCGCGAGAAAGAGACGAGACGACTTTGAGTGTGTATACAAGTCGCGATCACAGGAGAATGAGAAGAGAGAGAGAGAGAGAGAGCAAGAAAGAGAGAGAGAGAGGACCCAGGTGAACGGCAGGCATGCAGGCAGGTTCGCCAACGAGAGGCCCCCCTGGCACTCTCTCCCGAGCAACGGGTTCAAACGCGCACTAGCCGAGACGCTCTCCTGTGCGCGCCACAGCGGTATATTCCACTCGCCGCGCACCGTATAGCGTATATACACACACGTTCGCGGATCGTCGTGCGCGCGACAGCACTGCTCCGCGCGATCTATTCTCTTATATATTTATTATCCGGTTGGCAAGCGACTGGACAATTTTTTTTCGTCTCTCTTTTAATTGGAAATCGAGGTGATTGCTCGCGCCGAGTCGATATATAATTTTCAAAAATTGCGAGCTCTCGCGGTGCATATGACATGACCCGATTCTCCTTTCTCTTTCGCTCGTTAGCTCGCTGCCGTTTTCCGACGTAGAAGTGACATACAGCCGACAGAAGTGTTTGTGTGT